CTCTCTCTCTCTCTCTCTCTCTCTCTCTCTCTCTCTCTCTCTCTCTCTCTCTCTCTCTCTCTCTCTCTCTCAACAGTCCCTGCATGATTTGTTGCATCACCTTCACCCTACTTCACTCCCCTCTCCCAGCAACATTTCCCTTACTTCCCTCTCCCCGATAGGTTCCCCCTACTTCCCCCCTGGAATCTTTGAGCCACCTTCCTCTGCTTTACCCCGATCATTGAGACTTTTCCCCCCACTTTAAACCCCAACTTGGAGCCACCTTCCACCTCTTTCGCCCCACTTCACTGCCCATCTCCTTGGCACCCTTCCCCTTATCCCAATCACACCCCAACATCTGTGCAACCTTCCCCCTACTTCGGCCCCATCTTGCCAACACTTTGCCCCTATTTTACCACCTTCTCTACACCACCTTCTCCCTTCTTCCCCCCAAATCTTGTCACTATATCCGATCCAACTTCCCTCTACTTCATGCCCCATCTCAGCACCACCTTCCCGCTAATTCGCTTACTTATAGTCACAACACCTTGAAGTTCCCACTTCTCTCCCTGGAATTACTCCCCACTTCCGCCCCATTTCCGTGCCACCTTCCCTCTACGTTCCCCTACATAGCCCCCGATCTTTGCCACACCTCCCCCCTACATCCATGCACTTCCTTGTGCCCTCTCCTCAGCACCTTTCCATCCACTTCCCGCTCATCTAAGCGCCAACTAACCCCCTACTTCCCAACGATCTCATTTGCCCCCAATTGCACCCCCTGTCATGCTGCCACCTTCCTCCAGCTTCTGCCCTCTTTCTCCCACTTCCCCAACCTGACACATCTCCTTCTCGCCGTCACCCCCACTTTCCCCCCTATCTCTGCAGTGCATTCCCGCTCATTTCCCGACACCTGCCCCCCATTGAGCCCCCCATCTCTGCAGCACCTTCTCCTCAATTTCTCCCACTTCCCCACACCCCAGTCATCTCCTCATCACCTTTGTTGCCATTTGCTTACCACCTTACCCACATACCTGCACCATGTTCCAGTGCACCTCTTCGAAGTTCCCCCCCCATATTCCCCTGTGACAGCCCCCTGTTCACCGCTGCCCCCGATATCCTCCCCCTGAATTAGCAGCAGAGTAGCTGTTTCCTTTCACTTTCCTTTCATCCGCATTTTCAGATGCTATTTGACAGGCACCAGCATCGGCTGTGGTATCAGCCCAGCAGCCGCAGGCTCGCAGCTCATGTTCTTCCTCTTCTGCTGCTGCACCAGCTAAATAGCAATAGCAGCATCCTTTTTTCTGGGGGGCAAGAACATCTCAGCCAAGAATCGGGTTTCGGATAGGCAAAGAAAAGTCATACCAGGTCCTTCGGGACATCCGTTAAAATTGGAACGATACAGAGAAGATTAGCATCTCCCCTGCGCAAGGATGACACGCATAAATCGAGAAATGGTCCAAATTAAAAAAAAAAAAAAAAAGTCATACCAGTAGGTCCATGATGCGCAATTTGAAAAGGGCAGTTAAAACACAAGGCAACGGTTCAGACAGGCAAGTCACTTTCTAACGACAGGGGCAGGCTGTGGTGTGCAGAGGGCCTGCATTAAAAAAGGCAAGCAGCTGCAGACAGCGCCGCACAGTGCGTTAGACGAACTGCTGCTTTTTGCTTCTGCTGGTTATTCCAATGCCACGGCTCGGGGTGCACCAAAGGCTGCTGCTGAAGTAGCAGAAGCAGCAGCTGCTGTTCTTTACTTCTTCTGGTTTTGGCATAATCAGCTCCCAATGCCGCATCAGAGGCAGCAGGAGCAACAACAGCCATGATTGCAGTGGCAATCCTCTGACATCGCACCAGAGGCAGAAGCAACAGCAGCCACAGGTGGGCAGTTCCACTGGTGCTGCTGCCTACGGCTGCTGCTGCTGCTGCTTGTCCTAGTGCTGCAAGGTGACGCTGAAGTAGCTGAAGCGGCAATAACAGGAGTAGCTGCTGCTCTTGTTGCTACACAGCAGCTGCAGCTGCCTGCTGCTGCTGATGCGGCTTGTCGTGGTGCTGCAAGGTGGCCCTGAAGTAGCAGAAGCAGCAGTACAAACAGGAGTAGCAGAAAAACCTGCTGCTGCATTTGCAGCACCAGCTGGCAGCTGCTGCTGCTGTCGACACAGAACAGCATCCGATGCTGCTCTTACTGGGTTTCCTGCTCCTGCTCCTGCCGTTGATGCACCAGTAGCGATAGCAGTAGCAGTAGCAGTGGCAGCCGTTCACATAGTAACAGTTTTAGCATCAGCATGCTTGTGGTTCTTCTGCTGCTCTTGCCGCAGCTGGATTTCAAGTTGCTCCTGCTGCTTCTGCTGTTGGTCCGCTGCTGCTCTCGCTGCTTCCTCACGTGCCCAAACACACAACCTCCTGATGACTCGGTGACAGTCTGACAAACAACTTGAAGGTCGCACCATCATGTTTTTTATTGTGAAGTTCCATATAGTGAACATGAGAGAGAGAGAGAGA